ACCCCCCACCCCCCCCCCACTTAACAATCACCTGGCAAAGAACAAAAATTACCTCACTAGCATCAGCTGAGAATTTATCTCCACCTACGGCTAGACCAATGAGAGAAACACACTCAATAGTTTTACCACGCAGCATACGGAGCTCCGGGCTAGTTGCCTTCTCTATCATATACTTGAGACAGGGCATAAACCTAAACAACAAATTTTAATTTTAATGTCACCTCTTCAAAATAGCTCAAATTAGAGTTTAACTCTGTAGGGAGAGTTTCCTTTTTGTAGCTTATAGTAAGTAATATAAAAAGATTCACAAGTCTTCTTTGAGAGAAATAGGAGAAATTATCTGAAAGACTCCAGCTTTTTATCAGTAAACATTGTACTGGCTTGACCAGTGCTTAGGATCCGGATCCGTTGGATCCGCAAGATTTTGGCTTCCTGAATCCAGATCCGGATCCGCAAAAATATATCCGGATCCAAGGAGCAAAATATCAACCAAAAACTGCAAAAAAAAAATATTTACACTAAAAGTAAAAAATTTGAACTTAAAAAAAGAGCGACATAAAATTTTCCTGATTTCTGAATGCTTTTTAAATTTTTGCATAAAAATAAGCGAAAGAATAAGACAAAAAATTTGAAACATCTGCTTTGTTAAGAAAAATCAGTAAATTTTTGAAGAAATAATCTGGATCTGGATCCGGATTTGGATCCGGATCTATTTTATTTCCAGTGCGAATCCAGGATCCGGATCCGTATCAAAATTAAATGGATCCCAAGCACTGGACTTGACATTAGCCAACATAAAATAGAGCTTACCACAAGCTTTGACATGAATGGATCAAATATTTATGGATATATCAATTGTGATACGTGATACGTGATACGTGATATTGTTTCCTGTGTACTAGGATTGAGCAAATTTCTTAAAATGTAAAAAACTCGCAACAAACTATGATGATAATGTATTGATGATGTAGTTGGAATTCGTAAGTATATTTCTGCAATAAAAATAACTTACTTGTCATAGTGCTCCACAAAGTTATCCTCTGCTGTATCTGCAACTGAGGCTATGGTAGTGACTATCTGCTCTAGAACCAGTTTGTTTCCCTTCTCTACTAGTTCGTTAAACTTGGCCTAAACAGAACAGTCTTATATCAACGGTAGTTACGTTCTGTGTAATCTATATTTAGGGTGAGAAATCAGCCAACCGCCCACCAGAGGTCGCTGCGTTTTTACTTAAAAACAATTGAAATCGAAAACATTTCAAAATCGTCCATAGGGTTGCGAATTGACGATTAAATATTAGAGAAATTGCTGTAAGCCCCCCTCCGTAAAAAAAAAATCAAAGATCTATATATGATGCATCATTTTCTTGAAAATTTCTTGCTGAATTCAGATTTTAAATTTTAAATATGTTAAAAATTTTAAGTTATAGCCAAATAGGGTACTAAACTCCGGTTTTTAACTTGTTAATGTTTCTGATGAGTTTTTTTACTAACTCAATTTTCAATTTTTTAAACGCTTTTCAGATTTGTATTAAGCATTCCAAGAAAATGATGTGAAACATGAAAATTCAAAAAAAAATTTGTGGCCTTACGGTAAATTCTTCGATACTAAATTGCAACCCAATGGACGATTTTGAATTTTTTTTTGATTGCAATATATTTCTTAAGTGAAAACGCATCGACCTCCGGTGGGCGATTGACTCAATTCCAATATTGATATTAATGTACATGTACAAAGAAGTTTTTTTTCTAATTCTTTATTTATGGTGTCTGCATGAGTATTCAAGTTTTTAAATTTTGCTGTAACATTTGTGTTGTCGGCGAAGGCTGTACTGAAAAGTTCATTGAAAATCCTAACATTTGTTAGTAAAATAATAACACAAGTAAGAATAGAAAGTATTCAAAATGATATAAACAATTGTACTAGCTGTACAAGAAAAGGTCTGCTTTCAGCATTCTGTTATCTTTCGAGGTTCTTTTAACAAGAGAGGATAACGGATTGTCGAAAGATTAGTTTTGCTTTGAACCTACCTTAAGTACTGATTCTAATTTCTCCATTATCTGTGGAAGGTATGGAACCAAGATATTTTTAGGACAGTCCTCGCTAAAAGAAGAAAAAAATATATATTTCAATGTGACTATTTACTTCGAGTCAATTTAATAAGTTCAATCCAAAACACAATTTCTATTTATTCCAATTTAGTGACAGTTCGAAATGATATATTCTGTCATATTCTGAATTAAGTTTTTTTGTGGAATCGTGAATTATTTTTACTAAATGTATGTAAATTATTAATAACCTGAAGTTGACCAACGCGGCTCCAGCATGAGCTTGTACTCGAGGATTTGCGTTGTCGTCCATCAGAAGGAGAAGGCCAGGAAGAACACGAGCGTGGAATTTCTTCTCAAAAACTGGCGCGAAATCAGTAGACATTTGTCCGATAGCGTTACAGCAGGCGTATCTTACTCTGAACAAAAATCAATTAATCAAACAAAATAAACTTTGCAATTTAAATATATTATATTTGCACATTTTTAAGAATAAATTTCTTTTCTAAATTCAATTGCTCCATTTGTTATCTCAATCTAAAACGTTTGTCACTACAGTTAACAGAATTTTTAAATTTTTAAAGTATGATCGACTTAGTCCAAATAACATAGAGAAAATAACACAATGATGAAATAAATAATGGAAGTTTTTTCAAATAAACCTCATTTTAGAGATTCTTGATCTTGGTGGAATTTAATTTTTGGATTGTCGTACCTGGGATGAGGATCCTGAATGTAGTTTATGACTCCGTCCATAACCTGAGAGAGGAAAGGTTCCATCTGTTTATGGCATCCCTCGCCAGATGCTGATATTGCCATAAGAGCAGCGTGTCTGTACTTCCAATCCTGACAAAGAAAACTTTTTTCGATGACATAACTATCTAAATAGCTTAACAAGGAAGATATTAAAAAATTGTAGGAAGGTTGCAGAACTTTCAACTTTCTCTAAGTGCTCACTGGCTCAAATCTTGAGGAAGGTTGCAGAACTTTCAACTTTCTCTTAAGTGCTCACTGGCTCAAATCTTGAGACAAGCGATTCAAAGTTCAATTAAAAGATACGCGAGCTGTTGACCCGTCGTTGTTCAACAAAGACTTCATACATTTCAGTCCCAGTTATAAAAAATTGTAGCCGATTGAAATTTTACTGATGTTCTTTGTTGGTTTTTAAGTGGCTGATATTTTGCCACATGGTCCTTTATTTTTATACGGATTTCAGAGTAAGTTTAAATTTCACTGTGAAACCCCAGACAAATGAATTTTCCAACTTGCTGTTATTTGCTGGCAAATATCAATGTTATGTTTTTTTAAAACTGAGCCTCAGGTAGCCAATTTTCAGAAACAATTAGAGAAAACATGTTTCTTTACGAAGTTTGTTTATTGTGGACAGTTAGTATGCTATTTGTCTTATTAAGAAGACATCCAATTAATTAGTAAAGTTGGGGTCGACACTCCCAAACATCTTTAAATAGTAGCTCATAAATATTTAGCTGTCGGTACCTTAATTAGCATTTTTATTATCTAACCTGTGACTGAAGCATGGTAGGAGTGAGCTGCATGATGTGTGGAAATACAGTTTTCCCTCCTAAACCACATGCAAGACGATCAAGAGCACTCTCCGCTACAACTGCATTGCTGTCATTATCCTCGTCCTACACAAACATATTTGTTATTTTTTTATTGTTATCCTATTTTCTTCATTATGCGACTATTTGCGCACAGCATAAACAATTCACAATTCCACAATAATTATTTTAGTTAGTTAAATCCAGAAAGAAAAATTTTGATTCGTTCGTCTGAAATTTTATAATTTACCTCTGGTGCTTCATTGGTTGACCAATCCTCCTCCTCATCAATATCTGTCATCATCTGTAGACAAGCCTGGACAACAGCTCCAATACATCCACCAACTACTTTCCGTACCATAGCAGGAGCAGTCTCGGAGGTAGTAACTATAAACTCCAACGCTAGATGTCTCCAGGACTCTCCTAGTTCCTCGTTCAACACCATCTTCAAACAAAGCTGAAAGATCTGCTCCAACTGGGGTCGCAAAAACTTCGGCATCGTCTCGGTAATGTCGATTAATGTTTTAAGGCACGCTTCGTCGTCCTGGTTTTCAACAGACTGAACAGTGACCTGCATCATAGGTCCTAGAAGGTCGGCGAAATGCTTCTGCACTGCAGAGTCCTTCTCATGAAGCATTAAGTAGTTTCCAGTGGCTTTTACCGCTGTGAACCTTACGTCGAATGTTGGATCGTTGAGACTGGCGAGCAACATCTGCTTTATAACGTCGATATACTGCTTTTCCTGGTTGCCGAAGACACCGGGTATACTGGCGAACATGTGGAGGGCAACCTCCTTTATCTCAGGGTTAGCAGAACTTGCGCAGTCAAAAAGAAATTTTAGAAATTCCGGCCAGAGATTGTTTCCGTCGTCGTCGGTGAGGTTTCGTGCAACTTCAGCAGCCAGATCTGCACATTTTCTTCGGCAGTTTTTGTTTGGTTCATTGTGCACACATAACAAGATTTGATGCTTTAGCTGGGCTTTTTGCTCATCAGGCAGCTAAAACAAAAATTCTGATAAAACGAAGGGTAAGGGTAACGTACATAAATACAAACTAGTTTATGAATCACTGTTAAGAATACATGTTCTTTGATTTAAAAGTAAATTGGCTGTGTTGATGATTAGTTTACTGTTGAGTAACATGCAGTATCAAAATTATGATAATACTAGCTTGGGAACCCAGCTTTGTATGAGAAATTTTAAATTTGCTGTTAAAAGTCATCCATCTTCATCATCATCGTCATCCATCATCCAACTTAAAAAAGAATTTTCGACTCGAGCTTAGAACATTCTCGTGGTTCTACCGAGTTCTAAAGCAAAATTTTAGGCTAATCTGTCAAGGAGTTCATGCGATGATGAAATCCAACCCAAACAGTGATATCTATTTCCGTCCTTCACTGAGTTTATTTTGTGTTGTTCTTATTGATGTTACAAGTTTAACAAGTATACATCTACAAATAACTAAAACTGCACCTTCGCATAGAACTCATCAAACTCTGATGAGAAAAGTCTCCTGAGCATGACGGAGGCGAGCTGGCGCCCATCCTCCGCAATCTCTGTAGTGTTGGAGATTGCTCCGAGAAGGATGTTAACCTTCTGCTCGGTCGGGACCAACTCATAGGACTCCTAAGCAAAAATATAAATTTAAATGAGATTTAATTATGGATTTCACGCCCGATTCTAGAAAATGTTTCCAATAAATCTGATAATAACCTAAAATACTTTAACAGATAGTTAAAAAATTACTCTTTGGTTAAAAAAACTCCGTGTTGCGCAAAGAGCGTTAGATAAAAAGAGATTAATATCCTTAAATACAGATCAACCAACACTTCACTCATCTAAGTGTGAATCGTATCTAAGATATTTAATTGAAGCCCGATTTATCATGAAGAATAACTAATGTTCACTACTCGTAGCCGAAGATAGAAGACCTTCTTATCTTGAATGTAAGCATATCTTCATTTGACCCTCCATTTAAGGAGGGCCTAAAAGATATCCTGATCAACAATGTGGAAGAAAGTATAATTTTACTACCTTCAAAATTTACTAATTCTGATAATTTCTCCAAAGTTCTCCGGGTCTGTCCAAGAGAACGATTTTTAAACAGGCTCGGAGCCGGGCGCTACGGCCTCATGACCAATTAGGGTCCGTCCTAGTATACAGTTTTTTTACGCCCCCCCCCCCCTTCCCCTTCCTATCAATTATGTACATGACCACTTTTTCAACGATTTTCAAAATATTAGTTTATATTTAGGGTAAGGTTAGGTTAGACACTTTCTGGGCCGAGCACTGCGGCTAGGACAGGCTAGGGGGCAGAGGGCTGCGGCTAGAACAGGCTAGGGGGCCGAGCGACGTGGCTAGGATAGGCTAGGGGCCTGGCGTTGCGGCCACATGGTCAATTGTATCCATGTCTTACATACAACATGTACAAAATTAATAGGGGGGGGGGGGAGGTCCAAAAACGTATATTAGGAAATTACCACCAATTATAGCCATGGTAAACATATAAGATCCATGTACAAAATTGATAGGAGGGGTCGGGGGAAGGGGAGGTTCGAAAATAGTTCCTAAGGAAATTATCAGTTATCCTTCAGTAGAAATGGGCAAGTCATTTTTATGAAACCTCATTTGAAACAACAAACATGGATACATTGTTCAAACATGGTCGGACAGAACTTTCAAGGGCCCAATTGTCAAGTCAGTCCCTAAGAAACCTCTAATAAATAATAATTACTCCCTGGACCAAAATGGCATATATGTGAATAAGAAATGATTTATAGTTTACAGGATTTACATCAAGCTATATTGCACTTATTCAATTTTTAGACTTAACACGAAGAACGTGCAGGGCAGATATAAGATATTTCAAGTAACTTTTTTCGCCAGGAGTAATAACTTTATCACAAAAACTACTTTTCACCTCTGCTTTGCTTCTGATATCATTATCTGTAGATAATAAGGCTTTAAGCAATTCTTGAACGTCCCCTCCCGCCATTTTACAACAACATGTGCCCTTCCCGCGTTATTGTGAATAGCAGATGACTCAAATAATTTCCTAAACTGGTTTCAAGCGAGGGATTTCAGCAAGTTTCAGGAGGAACATACTGGCGGACATTAAGAAAGAAGACGGAAAGATATTTTTCATTAAGTTATTAATTCTTTGTTACATATCATGTCAGGGGCGTACGAGGGGGGGGGGCCGCGCCCCCCCGCCCCCCTCTACGCGTGCCCCCCCTGAGAGGCTGAGGGGGGGCATCCATGGGGGAGGCTCTTTTAATATTACATTTGTAATATTAACATAATTCATAGTTTGGAATATCTAAGGTCTACAAAATAGGTTTGCAAAAATAAAGGAATTAGAAAATCAGAGCTTGTCACACATGGACTCAATCCTTGGAAAAAAAATCATATTATTCAAAGATTAGTTGGTGAGTTTAATGATAGCGTTATCCTCGGGGAAAAATTAAGGTTTAGGAAGTATAGATAAAAGAAAACCTTGAGAAGGAGTAATCTTGAACCATGGTCTCACTATCACCTCAGGACATATTCTCCAGTATAATATTGATACAGATTGATTCAGGTGAATGGTGGAACACGGAGAATAATGTTTNAGGGGGGGGCCAAAAAAAATTTTTTGCGCGCTTAAGCGCGCACGTTGTGACCCCCCCTAAACAAAAGCCCGCGTACGCCCCTGGATAAACGTTCTAATTTATATTTCGGGGAGGGGGCGGTGGTCGAAGGGCAATGATGCATGTCTTCTCTATAGTTTTACTGCCATATTGCTTTAATTCCCAAGCGCGGATTGAGTAAACCTTTCCCCTATTCTAAGCTTTAGGTTTATTGATTGACTATAAGAAAAAAAGTTTTGAAGAGTTTTTTGCACAGTTTTTAAATCAAATTGGGTAGAACGTATAAATATCAGATTAAATAAAAATCTAAAATATAACCTATAACTTAAATGAAATGATTGAGCTAGTAGAAAATAGAATGATAGTTGCATGAGGGAGGGAAGGCCAAGCAGCCATGAACCCCGTGGAAAAGTCTCCGAAACCCTGCAGAAACAGTCTCCGAACCCCGTGGAAAATCTCCGAACCCTGTAAGGAGCAAAAAATGTGTTATTCTGGGGGAAATCGCATGATTTTTGAATTTTTTTTCAACATATGGCACTGGATCAAACAAAAGTATTACTAATAAATGCAATTTTGATCTTATTCACGGCCCTTATAGTATATGTTTATTTTGTATTGCTGTTTTAAGCTTAAACTTTAAAATGGACCTACGCAACAACGCACAATGTTTTTAGTATTTCAATGAGATTTTTCATGAAAATGCAATAACATGTTTTAACGTAGTCCACCACTTTTTTAATTCCCGTCATCAAAGGGCAGTTTTACTCCATAATATCATTTTTTACTGTCTCCCCTAATTAAAAGTGACCTACGCTGTAATTATTATATCTACACACGCAAGAAATATAAATATTGAATTAGAATGACATTTTGCATTTGCAAGTTTTACCACCTTTAAATTTTTTTGTATCATCGTAAAGTTATTTTTAATTAAAAGTATATAATCTTTTTCTGCATTTCTAACGATTATCTAGTTTGTCGTCTTCATTCTATTTTGAAATAAAGGGGGGGGAGGGGCAAGAAACGTATTACTCTCCAGAAATTTAAACAGTGTATAAACATAACTTAGCATTGTCCTAGGAGGCTGATTTTTTGCATGCGAGCTTAAAATTATGTATATCACATGTATTTTTTGGTTTTGAACGGATCTGAGCAAAAGTGCGCTCGCGCCCTTTTTGTGAAAAAATACGACTTTTTTGACAGTAAATCAATTTTAACTTAATTAATTGCACTTGAACATTTATCCTGATACTCTTGAAAAAAATATGCGCTCAAAAAATTCACCTCCAAAGCCTTAAATGTCCGTCGCGCGCAATAAAAGAAAATGTCTTTGAATACTTTTTTTGCTAAGTTTGGCCTAAGTCAGAATAAAAGTAGCATAAGATACATCAAACTACAGCAAAATTGGGACAAGGAACTCATTTCCGTGGTCAAAATAGACATTGTAGCATTCTGACTGGCGCGCCAGTAGCCTCGACAGTTACATTATGGTCATCTTAGCACAGAGAATTTACATGTTGTATGTCGATTTATAGGTAATTGGGCACGAGGAATTCATTCCTGGGGTCAAAATAAATATTAGAACATTCTGACTGGCGCGCTAGTAGCCGGCTGTTTCATTATTTTGCTATAGTTTGATGTATCTCATGCTACTTTTATTCTGAATTAACCCAAACTTAGCAAATAAGTATTCAGATTTTTTCTTCTATTGCGCGCGAGCTCGGACATTTTAGGCTCTGGAGGTAAATTTTTTGAGCGCATATTTTTTTCTAGAGTATCAGGATAAATGTTCAAGTGCAATTAATGAAGTTAAAATTGATTTACTGTATACCATGTGGCTGTAATGCCCTATCCTGTACTAGCCGCGGCGCTCGGCCCCCTAGCCAGTCCTAGCCACAGCGCTCGGCTCCCTAGCCTGTCCTAACCGCAGCGCTCGGCCCAGAAAGTGTCTAAACCTAACTCTAAATATATGCTAATTTTGTTGAAAATTGTTGAAAAAGTGGTCATGTACATAATTTTTAGGAGGGGGTCCAAAAATCGTAAACTAGGGCGGACCCTATTAATTTTGTACATGGTTTTCATATGTATTATATGGATCTTACATAGATATTATCGGTCATGTAACCACAGAGCCCGGTCCCTTAGCCTGTCCTAGCCACGGTACTCGGGCCCCAAGCCTGACCTAGTCGCAGCGCTGGCCCAGAAATTGCCTTAACCTAACCAAACCCTAATTTAAAAATAGATTAATGTTAATAATTTTGCCAAAAGGCTTTAAAATAAGTGGGGATGTACAAAATTGATAGGAGGGGGGGGGGTCAAAAAATTCTATAGGACCAGGGAGAGTGCTTAAGTCCTGAACCTTTGCGCATGCGCGCTCCTCAGTTAGCAATGTCGAAGCGCTAGAAATACTTAGTGAACTTAATACTTCATTTTCACTAGTGGTTGGGTTGAGACCAATTTTTCTAATTTTTTGTTCTTTCTTTGCATTTAATTAGTTTTGTTGTAGATGATGAACTCGAGTAGGCAAATATAAGAATCTAAACACTGAAAAGGTTTTCTGAAAATATTTTCTAAATAGAGATAGATGTTACTTTGGTTGGGGTTAGGTTATTTTTAGAAAACAGGCAGCCCGACCTTTTAGTATTTTACTCTAATCATGAAATTCAGTCATTAAATTGGTGAAGTACTTACTTACTTAACTTACTTAAAGATTTATTTTCGAAACTGAGGAGCAATAAAGAAATCTAACAATACTGTACACGATAGGGCCATTATCAGAGGTCAATATGGTCTTATTTCAAAGAATTTTTTTATTGCTGATAACCAATTGAGTAGCACGCACGCCGCAAAACAAGTTTGGATGGCGTTTGTTCACAATTCAAGATCCATGTACAAAATTGATAGGAGAGGGGAGGGCCGGGGGGGTTCATTCAGTT